TTATTAAATGAGGTCATTTCATGAGACACCCCGATTCCAGAAATGATCTCCGGACGAAATCCGGAAGAGGGTGGTTGGCCATGCCACGAATAAACGGATGTGTCGTCGATGCACTTTATTAATTAGAATCACTCGGACCAGCTGCACGCTCCAATTTATGCTGGACTGCTGTAATGCTGATACCGTATTGAAATTTGTAATACGATAGACATTACAGGCTCCATGTAAGCGGCTTACTTGCCAGACCGTTAATGCAGCTCATATTCTGAAATGATCTTAGCGAGTGTAATTGCTGGGGAATGATGTCCCCATTCTTATGTGTAATTGTTGTAATGAAAATGTCACAAGTGTAATGGCCCGAACACAATGATGTCCCCATTCTTATGTGTAATTGTTGTAAAGAAAATGTCACAAGTCTAATGGCCCGAACACAATACCGTAACAATACTGCTTACCGATTCCTCGCATAATTATGCAAATCTCGATAATGGCTGGAATCTTCCAATTATTATTTTCCCTCCCTCTGTAATTGTCTAGAACGCCTCGAGCGTACGAACTCCATTAACGTGTAAATTGTCGTAACCCAGAAAATTTTTAATTATTAAAGTTCCACCCAGGAGCAATCAGCCATCCGTTCATCAGACGCCCGTAATTATGACTCACTTCGTGAACTCGTGTCCCGAAATATTATTTAATATCATTGCCCTTAGATTAAGAATACTTAGATCGTGTTAAATACATTCGGAAGATAATACGAAATATCTTTAAACATTCAAGATTCATCTTGCCGGCCTGTTGATCTCGAAACATGGTCACAGAGAAACGTGCCTAAACAAAAAGGACAACATAAAGCAAATATCTGGAATATATTAAATTCATTAATCCCGACTTTTCTCTTCCCTTTTTTTCATTCCCAGATTTTCAACACACCTCTGAGCGAAGTTAATAACTATCGAGCTATGAGCTAATTCCCGATCCATGATTTAACTACTGATCTGCAAGTTGCTTTACGTATCTACGAGCTAATTCTCAATAATTTATTCATTGAGCTACTTGTCAATCTGCACCTAATTTATCCATAATTAAATTTTTCTTATCCAAACATTAATCGAATCTAATTATACCCGATCTAGTCGTCCATCAACTATCGACGCATGCTCGATTTCGTGCGAGTTATCGATCTATGAGCTACTTGTCAATTTGCACCTAATTTATCCATATAATTAAATTTTTCTTATGCAAACATTAATCAAATCTAATTATACCCGATCTAGTCGTCCATCAACTATCGACGCATGCTCGATTTCGTGCGAGTTATCGATCTATGAGCTACTTGTCAATTTGCACCTAATTTATCCATATAATTAAATTTTTCTTATGCAAACATTAATCAAATCTAATTATACCCGATCTAGTCGTCCATCAACTATCGACGCATGCTCGATTTCGTTCGAGTTATCGATCTATGAGCTACTTGTCAATCTGCCCCTAATTTATCCCTATAATTCAATTTTTCTTATCCAAACATTAATTGATCCGCAATCAAATTATTCATTGGAAATTTAATTATACCCGATCTAGTCGTCCATCAACTATCGACGCATGCTCGATTTCGTGCGCATCGTTCGTCGCAGATATCGAGGCGTCTATCCCTCAAATCAGGGCCATCAAAATAAGAATCGCCAGAGGTGGAGGAGCGCATCAATCGAGCCGAGGCCGGTAATAGAAGCGGTGGTAGCAGGCGTTATGGTGAACGTTCGTGACCCATAATTCAACAAATCACGCGTTGCACGCGTCGCCGCGATAGTAGCGGTAACACCATTGGCCGGCTAACCATGGCCAGGGCTGGTTTATGGGGATCACCAGGCGACGTGTCCACGATAAACCATCGGCGAGCGATCGGCCGAGCCGGTTGCCCGTCATTTCGCATGTCGGTTCATTCGTCATTCTCAAGAAGACAAGTTATGTTGGTCGGGCTCATCTACCGCGCTCTATGCGCAAGGTGTGCACGAGTGCACTGGAAATCTCGCCGTAGCTTTAAATCTCCCATGACGCTCTCTCGGGCCTGTAAAAGTCTCAAGTGATGAATGGGCTGTATATTGTGGAGATGAATTCCGGTATCCTGATAATCGAGCGATGGCTTCCATAAATCGGTATGATATAAGTAATACGTATGCCCCAACTATTCCCATACCCTTAACGTTGCTACTTCGGTTGAACTCGTCACTTCCCCATTTATCATAGATGAGACTGTATGTCGAAACGGGGAAATAAAATACGACGTAGGCACATCCAGTTGGCAATAACCTTCGAAATGTAGCAGAGCGTGGGTCATCCATTCCTACGATAAATAATGAATAAATTGTACCGATCGTAACGAGCTTGTAGATCCAGACTATGTCATGGCGAGACCGTCATAAGGGAGGTCATACGTTTCAAGGGTTCTCCCGAGTGCGTACACGGGACATGCGTTACAGGGCATGATAACTCTAAGTACGACAATCCGAATAAGCAATGTTGCAATTAAGATTGCCTCGTAAACCGGGAATATTAACCTAAGCCAATGGGCTGTATATTGCGGAGATGAATTCCGGTATCCTGATGATGGAGCGATGGGTTCCATAAATCGGTATGATCAAAGTAATGCGTATGCCCCAACTATTCCCATACCCTTAACGTTGCTACTTCGGTTGAACTCGTCACTTCCCCATTTATCATAGATGAGACTGTATGTCGAAACGAGGAAATAAAATTCGACGTAGGCACATCCAGTTGGCAATAACCTTCGAAATGTAGCAGAGCGTGGGTCATCCATTCCTACGATAAATAATGAATAAATTGTACCGATTGTAACGAGCTTGTAGATCCAGACTATGTCATGGCGAGACCGTCATAAGGGAGGTCATACGTTTCAAGGGTTCTCCCGAGTGCGTACACGGGACATGCGTTACAGGGCATGATAACTCTAAGTACTCGGACGACGATCCGAATATAAACCGAGTGGGAAGGAACAAGCAATGTTGCAATTAAGATTGCCTCGTAAACCAGGAATATTAACCCAAGCCACCCCTTACCCGCAGAGACTATAGTGGCATTCGCCCCATTACTCACTAAACGACACGTACGTGGGCCCGAGGCTCCCCTGCAATTAATATTAATATTTGCCAATTAAACTTGCACGCAGCTGGTTTACGGAAAGGATCGCTAAAGGGCAAGCATGCCCGCGATAAACCACCTTCCGAGCGAATGGGTGACCCAGTTGGGCGTCGTTTTGCATATCGGTTCATTCGTCATTCTCAAGAAGTTGGGCTGCAACGGCTGTGCGGAGCTTTGGGGTTTTCTCGCTGCATTAAATCCCAAAGATTCGACCCGAATTTTATAACCATCCCCGTGGTTCTCTCCGCATCGATGGGCCGATTGTTTGCGAACGTCCATCTTGGAGGTCATTGGTCATCGAACCTCATCTTCCGAGACTGTATACCGATACTTACTAGAGGCATAAAGTCGAGATGGCGAGGTTTCATCGGATGACATCATAGCAAACGCAACGTCGTTCGAGCTGCTTTCGATCAGGCGAAAGCTCCATGAAAATTCACCTCCTCGTTCCGAGTCGAATTTAATGTCGCGAAACTGGCCACTGCCCCCGACTCCGCCGTTTAAAACAGAATTCCACCCCATTAATATTGACATTTCTGTGTACGTATGTTTGTGTCTATATCGTGCAATGCCGCTGGGCGGACAATACCTTATATTTTATGGCTTAGGAAAATGATCGGCAGAAGAGGTACCAGAAAGCCTGGTTGGAAGTTTCTAAAGTTCGGTGCTAGTGTATTTTGGATTACTTGGGGGAATTCCTAGATATTTTATGGGTTAGGAAAATGATCGGTAGAAGAGGTACCTGAAAGCCTCGTTGGAAGTTTCTAAAGTTCGGGGCTAGTGTATTTTGGATTACTTGGGGGAATTCCTAGATATTTTATGGGTTAGGAAAATGATCGGTAGAAGAGGTACCTGAAAGCCTCGTTGGAAGTTTCTAAAGTTCGGGGCTAGTGTATTTTGGATTACTTGGGGGAATTCCTAGATATTTTATGGGTTAGGAAAATGATCGGCAGAAGCGGTACCTGAAAGCCTCGTTGGAAGTTTCTAAAGTTCGGGGCTAGTGTATTTTGGATTACTTGGGGGAATTCCTAGATATTTTATGGGTTAGGAAAATGATCGGCAGAAGCGGTACCTGAAAGCCTGGTTAGAAGTTTCTAAAGTTCGGTGCTAGTGTATTTTGGATTATTTGGAGGAATTCCTAGATATTTTATGGGTTAGGAAATTGATCGGTAGAAGAGGTACCTGAAAGCCTCGTTGGAAGTTTCTAAAGTTCGGGGCTAGTGTATTTTGGATTACTGGGGGAATTCCTAGATTTTGTGGAAAACCACCCACTGATAACAATTATGCTCTTTTTATACAGTACATAATGAGATAAATAATTATACGAGATTTGGAATTTCAGGGCAACCTGGCTGAGTCCCATATCACCTTGTGGTGATTACTGAAAATGGTACAGAGTTTTTTTTAAAGTACCCTGAGCAACTAATCGTTAAGTAATTCCGTTTCTCTAGCTGTCGGCAGTTCATCAGGTCCGCGACCATGTATTCATGTCCGTTCCCCGTGTGTTCATTAAGGGGATGTGAAAGTAGCATCTCAGAGGTCTCGTTCATGAAACTTTCCTCCAAATTAGGTGTACCGAATCGATTAAAACTTTACAATATAAATGTGGAGGGTATAAGGAAGGTCCTGAAACTCATGAAATTTCAATTACTTTTTTTTCTATTTGTTTATAGATATTTTCAAAATTGTTTATAAAAAATGAAATCTCATGAGTGTCAGGACCTTCCTTATAGCCTCCATGTCGTATCCAAATCGACTGATTTCAGAGGAGTTTCACTTCACCTTAAGCCGTCAGGGTTTTCAGTGATGACTAGGAATGATCAATGTCCTTTTATGGATTTCAGCCGGCGCAAGGAACGGCGCCAGCAGGAGATATCCTGTAATCGTCTTCGTCCATGGGGAGAGTTACGAGTGGAGTAGCGGAAATCCTTACGACGGGAGCGTACTGGCAAGCTACGGGGGTGTCGTCGTGGTCACCATAAACTACAGGCTAGGAATCCTAGGTAAGCTCGAAAAATCCATTCCCATATCTAATTACACCAGCCCTCTTTAAAAAGACCATTCAAAGTTGGAAGATACCAAATAGATTACTATTTCAATGAATTACCCACCAAGCGCACTAGTTATAGTTGCATTATCCTGCGATAACATGATACATAACGAATGTTAGCCAAATGATACATTAATATCATATAACGTCTAATTATTACCGTTCGGTAACATCGTTACAAACTTGTTAACACTGACAGTTATGTAATATTAACATAACATGTAGATGTTACCTTATTCGTTTCATAACAGTGTTACACAGGTACGTAGGACATAGTAACATGAATCTTACATGTTAGAAACTTTATGCAATTGTCATGTTATCGTTACGTAACTGTTTGGTGGATTAAATTGCATCGGAGCGGATTTAATTTCAGGAATTGCGACGTGATCCGAGGGTGAAGAATTCAACGGCATCGACTCGTTATAATCGCCCTAGTCGTTCGATCCGGAATGCAATTCGTTACACCGCGTAGTACAACTCTCGGCTAAGGTGAAACGTGATAAGAAAAGTCTCGAGGGAAAAGCGGACAGGCAGCAAACTAAAGGGATTGAAAGTTCCGCCGTGTTGCCTGGCAACCGGGCAACCAAATCTAATAGGAAACTCATTACAGTGAAGTCTTCCGTTTCGCCAACCTAAATTCTTCCCTTCTCGCTTCGGTTGCCCCACGGCGGAAGCTTCGGCCTTTCCGAGGAACGTCGTGACCGTTCGAGGAAAACCGAACTTTCTCGTCGGAAAAGTCGAAGTTTCGGCTTCCTTGTGACAGAACACGCCAAGAAAATATGCAGTTCAATTGACAAAAATAAATAATCACTTGTTTCGCGTTTTCGTATCATGATTTCGGTATAGGTGTAAAGTGATATGATAACGATACAAGTAAACATGACATTTTAGTTATTAACGTCATGACCGTTCGAGGAAAACTGAACTTTTTCATTGGAAAAATCGAGGTTTCGACTTCCTTGTGACTTATTTCGGGTTTTCCTGTCATGATTCAGATATTATGTGATTAAGAAACATGTTAATGATGCCATTGAACGTGAGACATTATCTATTAACATCGTGGCTGCTTAAGGAAAACACAACTTTTTCGTCGGAAAAATCGAGGATTCGGCTTCCTTGTGACAGAACATGCCAGGAAAATGTGCAATTCAATTGACAAAAATAAATAATCGAACAGATTTACCTTGTTTCGCGTTTTCCTGTCATAATTCAGGTACTATGTGATTAAGAAACATATCAATGATGGCATTGAACGTGAGACATTATCTATTAACATCGTGGCCGCTTAAGGAAAACACAACTTTTTCGTCGGAAAAATCGAAGTCGAATCTTTATCATGACAAGGCCCGCGCAAGAAAGGAAGTACGCAATTCCCATTGGCACCGCCAAAAATCCTAAACAATTGCAATAATTTCACGTTTCTCTATCACCGTTGCATACGTAGTTCATGCAAACAGTTTGACTCCACTTTGATATTTGCTTATTCTGAATTTACCAGTATATAGTATTTTTTAACAAATTTTTAATCATACTTAAGGGACACATTCGTCCAATCTCCCCCTTTGAGAATATAATTCCGTACGTAAACTAAAAGGAAGCATGTCAAGTATCTAAAGAGAAAATCGCGAGAGACATCGAATTCACAGAATTGCCCCATAATATAAGTTTACTTTCCTGCATGTGCCTATAATTAAACGGTGCCTCCTGTATATTTAATATTCACTGTATGCAATGTTAATAACAAGTGTCACGCGACGTTTGCTTTATACTCCCGCTTTAGTGATATTTCTTGCCTCTTATCACGGAACCCCACGAAGGCAAGGGCGAGAAAAAGGTAATATCCATCGTGTGCGATCGTAGCGTGATGGAATTATGCGTCTGCATCTAGTAATAACTACAACGAGATCTGAGAGATGGAAACCCACCCTCTGTCAATGGGAGCCGGCAAGGGTGGGATACGAATATATAGAGGGGGAGATTGAAAAGTGAAACGAGAATTTGTCGTGGGAGAAACTCCCATGACAGGATTTCCTTTTGCCAGATGTGCCAGGAAAATTAGACGAATGTCGTGTTTTCAGATATCCTGGGCTCGGAATGTATAGCTTCAGGTGGGTCGTTAAAGTATACAAAAGAAATTGAGCGGAATCGAGGATAACCAGATATTACAGGAGATATTGGAAATTTTAAACCCAGAATGAGGCGAAAATATCGGTGGGTGGGGTTGTCAAATATTTGTTTAGATATTTTATCATTTATTTCCTGTCACCATCCAGGGAGAGTTAACGTGTTCCCTTCTCTTATACTGGAGATGGATAGGAGAACCATTCGATATAAGATGTTCCAAAGAAAATGTGTAAATTTACCGCAAACGTGGTTGGGATGGTGATGCTAAGAAATTATTTATTTAATTAATTCCCGTCCCTGGGAAGGTTTCAGGAACTCCGTCTAGTGTTTATGCGTAGTTAACCCGTTTTTTTTGGGGGGAAGTAAAACGTAGAAAATATAGGAAATACGTGCGATAGATATGTTCTTATCATTCGCATTTACTTGCGACCTTCCGCAATATCCTCATTCGAGCAACAATCTTCACATAGCCCCAGTTCAGAAACTTCACCTGTCTACATAGCAAAGCATAAAGATGATCCAATCTCTCGGAACAAGCGCCGGGAATTATACGGTCTCGTAAAATTTACTCCAGAAGCGTTATGCAAATCATCGAACCAGCGTACCGAGTCGTATCAAGACTCCGTTCGAATTGCCCCAAAGGAACTCCTCGAGTTTTCCAACACTTCTGTAACAACCTGCAGAAGCATCTTCGAGGAGGAGCGTTTATTGCTCTTCAGCTCCCTACTAAATCCTCGCATGCATTGTTTACAACTTAGCTAAGTACTGATGTTTAAGTAACTGGTCGAATTACTTCACGACTTGCCTCATATCCGATTATACCTCGTTTTACCCTATCGCTTGGGTACACACACTTCATTGTACGACATGGTCTAGAATGGACCACGTACTTAGATGTTGGACCAGCAGAAAACATTGATGAAACAATACGATTATACAAATTTAGAAATTTAGAGTTTTCCAACACTTCTGTAACAACCTGCAGAAGCATCTTCGAGGAGGAGCGTTTATTGCTCTTCAGCTCGCATGCATTGTTTCCAACTAGACTAAGTACTGATGTTTAAGTAACTGGTCGAATTACTTCATGACTTCCGTCAAATTTTATCCGATTATACCTCGTTTTACCCTATCACTTGGGTACACACACTTCATTGTACGACATGGTCTAGAACGGACCACGTACTAAGAGGTTCGACCAACAGAAAACATGGATGAAACAATACGATTATACAAATTTAGACCCGACATGAATTTACTTACCTTAAAATTCTATACAAAATAAAAGTATCATCTCATTTAACCGGTCGACAGTTATTATTACCACTAAACGCTCGCTACGTCCTCGTATTGTTTTGGTAAAAAAATGACTACCGTGCTCGTTTCTCCTGTATTTAACGTCACATCATTCTAAATCAAAAAGACACTATTTTTTTTTTCATTTTTTTCCTTTGTTAAAAATGGACCTTTTCGGCGGCATATAAAGCCGTTTGACGTGCGGTCGGACCGATCGGAAAAGCGCATGTTCCGTTTATTATGCGAACCGCGAATAAAAATAGATTGGCGTGCCGTCAGGAGAGAGAGATGAAAAGAGCGCGTATATCTACAAAACATCGAGAATACATTCGATCGCAGCTGCAACTTCCGGCGTACCTGTCACGCCGCGGTTACGGATCTCCCGGTTGGGCTCTCTCATTTTTTATCAGGTTTCCGCGAATCTACGGAATATTCGCAGTATCAATGTTTCGTATCCTGTATACGAGGCGTTCCGTTATTGTCCGATCGTTCATACAGCCCGGCATTATCTATTATCCCGGCCATTTTTGGTTAGCCGCGACACATTCTCGAGGCCGAATTTTGCTAAAAGTCCTCGGTCCAAAGAGAAATTGATAATAAAAGGATCATCTGCCGTAGGTACTTTACAATCGGTGGCCAAGTTGTTACACCATAGCTTTCCTCGTTATTTCATATTCAACGCTTATTCTTGCACACGGACTTATTTCTTCCCCTAGAAATATATTTATATCGTCTTTGTTCCTCTGTAGGGTCAATGCGTCAAGCCCATTGATAATACCTGTGAACTCCTCTAGAGGAGAACGAAGGATAATAGAACCTGAATTATTTAGAAGTTATCCTTCTTCAGATTACCCCAAAACCCACTTAAAGTCTATCATCGGAGGATCTAAGTCAAATCAAAATTTCAACTCGGGGAGAAATATCAGATTAATTCCAGAAACTTGCATTCATTTCGAATAGATATTTATTATTCGTGAAAATGACATTTAACCTGATTACATTAGAGCATAGTCTTGCGAATGAGAAGTGTCCACGTCATGTATCGTTACAAGACATTCTGGGACTGTGTGACTAAACTAGTCCTTATTTATTTCGAGTCACCCTAATTTCAATTGCTGCTCGTACTTCTTCCTGTAGAGATTGTTCTCGGCAGTTCTTGTTCTTCCCCGTTATATCCGGAGCCCCTTTTCTCGTTTTCGCGCAACCTGGCAAACAAGGTGGAGAAAAAGAAATAATCGTTGCAACCCCGGCACCCAAGATGAACGAGTAGACAATAATTCCGTGACAATCCATGCCGGGTGCGCCCTTCAGGGCGGGGTTTTCAGCGTCTTCTTAATTAAATTTCAGTCCTGGCCAGAGTGGAGAGCGCAGACTCCAGAGGTCCAGACTCTTCCCTTTGGCTCGTACCCAGTTTAGTCACATGGTCCATGTTTTGTCCGGTAGTCACTAATTATCCCAGGACAGTAAAGTACGAGTTGGCCTGGTCCAATCCTGCCGGATGTGATAATTACGATGCACCCCAAAACCCTCGTCTAAGGCCGGTTTGCTTTTCCTATGGTACCGGAACTATTGATCACCTAGCAATGAAGAAATATTTACGGTACCGAGGCGGGTGACTCGGTAAATTCGTTACAAAAAAGAATCGATCGTCTCTAGCTTTCAACGCGTGATCCCTCCTAATTGACGCCCCTTCCGCAGATTGTAACAAAAACACCAGAAGGGATCATACGTGCACAAAGTGCATCTACCCCAATGTAACATGTACGTAACGTAGACGTCAATTTGACGTACTATTTTCAGACTTAAGCCATAAATGAACGTAATATTAGACGCTGGGGACGTCAAATTGACGTAAGGTAGACGTTCGAACGTCCGCTGGGTGAACGTCAAAGACACGTGGAATAAACGTCAACCCCGACACCTTCGTTATACGTCAAGTTTGCGTAAACTTTCCGATAGAGGCGGTCCGTAATTGGTCTCACCACGAACGTCAACTTTAATTCAATTTGACGTAAACCGTACGATCTAGAAGATGGCCTATTGACGTCAAATGTCACGAACGAAAAGAAAAGAAGGACGTCAACTGAACGTCCACCGAGCGTCACCTTAGTCACTTTGTTCCATGTCGTTGAGATTTTCAACGCCACGATATGTAACAAAAGAACGACAAGAATGTGAGACCCCATGACAGGCGTTACTGCTGCTTTTATTCGTTACCCAAATGGCTCTTGGATCTGATCGACCATTTCGATCGACTCCAGACTGCGGAATTAGCGCGTTAAAGAAACATCCGTCTCCTATTTCTCGACCTACCGCCCATTCGTCGGTACCAATGAGCTCCGTGAGATACACCTAGGATACCTTCCCAGATAACGACGACCAAGGGTACGCGCGACGTTATCAATTCGGTCCCTTAAACGGGCACCTGGGCACAATCGAAGTGCAGCATCGGTCGCAGGACCATTATCATTTATCGCCGACCACGAAGGGTCCACGACGCGACCGAGAATTCCTCGTCGAGGGAGACTCTATGGCGAATTTGTCCCCGTCTCGCGAATCGTCGGACGAGGCGAGGAATAGCGACATAAGCGCGGTAGAGTAATTCGCCCGAGTGGTGATCACGGCTCGACATTTTGATTGCAGGCTTCCTGAACGCCAACACGGACTCGCACTTACGCTCCCCGGCGAATTACGGCCTGATGGATCAGATCGCGGCTCTGCATTGGGTCCAGGAGAACATCGCCTACTTCGGCGGTGATCCCGGAAACGTGACGTTAGTCGGCCACGGCACCGGAGCTGCCTGCGTTAATTTCCTAATGACCAGCCACGCCGTACCCGACGGTGAGTAACGCTGCGCGGGATCGAAAAGAACGTTGCATTTCGAAATGAAACGCGGTTAAAAGGCACCGGCAACTCCGCTCGATTACTATCCTATGGATGGTCCTGGGGTGGCTGCGTCCTGGGCAAGGCAGAACGACGAGCGACTCTCCAAATGGGCGAACGGAGAAGCGAAGCGATCGCGGGAAGCAGGACCCTGGATTTTTCAAGCTCTTCTATTTATGTCAATTCCTTCTTTCTTTTTAACGGATTTCATTAATGAGGTAGAATACGCCCCCCGGCTTGAGTCTGCCGATGTGCTTTGAAAGCGTTTTCTTTAATGAGCTTTTAATGTCAACCTACTAGCAGGAAAACTCAGGTAATTATATGGAAGAGCAAGGCAAGAAGACGGTGACGGTATTTTCCATAGAAACTAGACTTGCCTTCGGGTGAATGTATCGCCTCCCCAAGACGCCGTGTATCAGAAAACCATAAACTCCTCCGTCCTGATATATTTCAGCGGATTCTAGATGAAATCAACGGACACGATGAAAGGGCCAGGGTACCCGTTCTCCTCTACCCTGGGGTAGATGGGAAACTGGGAGCTACGAAGTCCGTGGAAAGGCGGGAACTACCCCTGTCGGGGCTCTGATTTAACCCTTTCCCTTTGCCTCGCAAAAGAAACGCAAGTTCCGATAATGCTCTTTCCTTGCATTGCCTGTAGCGTATGGCATGAGCTTGAAAAGCTCGTTACGGACACAGTAGAGTTTTACTTTCCACAGATGCTATGTACTAATTAACGTCGCATCCAGGAAAGTCTCTTGCAAAGAGTTCGACTTAGCTGAGGAGTAGGCCATGTTCTGGATTAAATTACCGCCGACAGAGCCGGACGGTAAAGCCATAAGGGAGGAAGAAGAGACTGTCCTCGGGATAAGGAGGATGGCCATCCCTTGGAAGGACTTGGGGGGAGAAAAGTGAAGTCCCACTCTTGGGGGAAAAATATGCATCTCACGCTTTCAGCGTTCATTTCCTCGTGCCGACATGCCGGGGGGAGGTGCTATCCCGGAAAGAGGAAACTTGGGGAAAAGCCCCGGGACCGTGCTGATATTTTAATTATCCAACTTTCTGGAATTTGAATGTAATAATGAATTAGCGAGGGCCATGCCGTAACTAAAAGCCGGGATTACAGAGGCTGGAGAAAGTGAAAATGGCAAGATTGTTACCACCACGAAGTAGGGGAAGGAGACGTAACTCCTATGGTCAGTCTCATAGATAGTGACTACAAAATCTAAACCCATGGATCCCGGATTTTCGCTGATCTATCGATGCGAGCGGTATTTGCGAAAATGTAGGAATTTCGATACCACGGGACCGAAGCATTTCCTAACGATTTTAATCATCTAAAACGCTTTTAATTTTGCAATTAAGGCCGCAACGGGCAACGATAATCCGTGCTTATCATACAGTATGTAACGTTTTTAATATCAAGGAGACTAGTTAATTTCAAAGTTTCACCGAAGAGGCACTGTCATTCTTAGATCGACAAAAATCCCGAATCTAGGATCTAAAATGGGATCGTCTTCCATCACGTCCTTAAGTTACTAGGGTCGAAGATCATCGGGAACTAGCGCGAAATTGAACAACGCCCTAAAACAAAGGAATCGGTATTGCAAATAATATGATTGAATATTCCAATTTCATGATTTGGGTGCAATATAAATTTGGAAAGTTCGGCATCATAAATGGCACGGTGGGCATTATCAGTTCCAAAATAACCACCCTACACCCAACGCGATCCAACTCCTAAGTTCCTTGTTTTATTCCCTTCTATTCGAGGCACATTCTTCGGTCGTCCTTCGCGACTTTCGTTTTTCCTCGTTCCGGGGCGATCGATGTTTAGGCCATAGATGCTGCAAGCTCTGCGGGAGAAAGACGGCGATTCCGATGCGATATCGCCGCTTGCATTCCACCTCCAAAGGGAAATCCTGCTGGGCGGTCCGGCTCGAGCTTAGGTCAGCCGATCCCCTAATAATTTACAACCGCAGCAGTTCCGCGCCATTATTCCTAACAGCATATTATTGTCCACGGTTTCTCATTCGCCATTCAAGCATCACCACGTTATCTGCTTGCAACCACACGGGGAGAGAACTAATTGTTTGCCGTGCGAAATCCGCGCCGGCGAGACTGCCACACGGAGGGGCCATTGCTACCTCCACGGTTTCAAAGTGGGCCAAAGATCGATTAAACCCGATTTCAGGTCTTACAAGGAAGATATCCCAGGTCGATCTCTCCGATTTCATTTCTTTTATAATATGTTATAGTAGACTAAAAACTAAGCGACAGGTATTTTCTTTTATCTGCCATTAAACACTTTAAGGGGGTGAAACCGCCATCCGAAGTAAGGCATGTCAAGGAGCGATTTGGCAGTTTCACCCAGAAGAACATAATATTTTTTAACCAATCCATCTGGAAAAGCTTTCTCATAACGAGAAATGAAAAATATAATTTTCTCAATTAAAAAAAGAAAATTAAGGGGTAACCCCTCACAGGGGTTAGCGTTCGGGGGTAGTTACACCGACTAATATTGTTTTTCGGGAAGATCCAAATACACGTCGTATTCCCTTAGTGTTCATACCCAACATATATTTTTTCAAATCTTTAGACTTGAATTTGACCATTTTTTGCATAAACGTAATCACATTTAGGGGTGGCTCACCCCTCAGTTTTTTTTTAATTCAGAAAATTATATTTTTCATTTCTCGTTACGACAAAGCTTTTCCAAGTGGATTGGTTAAAAAATATTATGTTCTTGTGGGTGAAACTGCCACAACGCCCCTTGACATGCCTTACTTTGGATGGTGGTTTCACCCCCTTAAAGTGTTCAATGGCAGATAAATAAAATACTTGTCGCTTAGTTTTTAGTCTACTATAACATATTAAAAAAGAAATCAAATCGTAGAGATCGACCTGGGATACCTTCCTTGTTAGAGATATCGACGAACAACTTAACTTTGTTAATGATGATTAACGGGTGATCATTAATATAGAAAAAGCAATTAAGTGATACACAAATGCATAAAAAAGCACGGTTGAGTAAACCACCCAATTATTGAACGATTAAGAAGTTTCGTTATTTAAAACAAGTACAGTATAAAATTGATATTTACTTTTTAGAAATTAGTTGGAATATTATACAAAGGAGGATTTCAAAAAACGTTACAACGGTGTGAAATTTCTGATATTATTATTTACGAGATGTTAATGTTGTTAAATATTGTAGATTCTTATTATTGAACGCGTTTTTTCAGATATTTAACGTACGTTTCCATTCTTGAACACATTGACGAAATAAAGTTCAATTTGAAATATTGAGGAAAAAGTAAATGGAATATGGAAACGAGTATACAGTAACTTAAATCGTACACGAACTTGGAAATTCATCCATTACGGCGTTAAAGTCATTCAATTCTTGCTATTCAATTTCTATCCAATTTTTGCCGACGGGAAATGTACTCGCAAATTACATCGAACATTGAAACACCAATTACTTGTAATGAATTCAATCATGACCCTTCTTTCGTCGATATCGACACATGTCTCTATCGGTTTTTGAACGTCGAAGTCGAATTTAACAATCAATTGATAAACGTCCGACCGGTGGGAATAAATCGAAACAAAATTGGAAAAGTTGGGTCAATAGGAGATTTTCAATTAAATTCTGAAATGTTACGAAATACATTTCAGGAGCACGTTTCTATCAATATGTGCCGGCGGGTATCCAATTTTTTTCCCGCTACATTCTGTCAGTCCTTTCAATAAACTCTCCAACGCCCTTCTAACATTTTCAATTATACTCCTATCCTGTTATTACTTCCGAAATGCGCAAACCGTATTTCCCGAAGCATTCGATTAATTTCGTTCGTTCTGACTATCGACGTTGAATTGCATTATTATCCGCGGAGTTGGACAGATCCTGGAGCTCTAGGTATAAATTTATCAGCTCCTAATACGAGAGCCTTTGATATCTCCGTCCTCCATATTCGAAGTTATAAATTACATTTTAACTATTAGGTAATCGGGAATTAAATTACATGAATCGGTACCTGGGGTTGAGTTTAACAGCAAATTAGTGCTACGCCTCCTAAGTTTTGCCATCCTATACTGCTCGATTCCTCCCAAAGCTAACTCTGCACAAATGAAGACGATTTTATGAACTCCGTTCATAAACTAAAACACGTGCTCCCACTTGGAATCTAATTTTCGATAAATCTGAGAACAACTTTTCCATCGTATACGACATCATTGGAAATAATCTTGAAATAAAATCCGCTTTTACTTTATTAATAGAAAAACAGACAGCAGTCGACGTCACTCCTCAAAATCTTTATACCACTTCAATTAATAGAAAGAATGTTAAACTTACCAATTTCTCAACACATGTTTCTGTACTATACAAAAGATTTGCGCAATTAAACAACAATTCTGACAAATGATTTTGTGGTTTTAAATACCTCATAACAAAGCAAGTGAGGTCATGATATCGGGAAAAAACAATTTTATAAATTCTCCCGCCGTGCCGTAAACCAAAGTGCATTTTTAGGACGATGAAGATATGATATACACTGTATGAACTTATATTCGAAGTCTTTGTATACAGTTTTCGTCTATTATCATAGATATATAGTATAGTATAGTGGAATGGCAACTAAATGGAATGATTATGTAAATTTCCATGGGCATTTTTATCAAGGTAATCACGGTTGGAAATATTTCTATTCTATCCATTCTGAGTTTAGGAATATAGGTGACAATCGGGCGTGTGTCTCACAGCGCTTCAGGTCGCAAATTGACACTGATTGTTTAATGGCAACTAAATGGAATAATTATGTAAATTTTCATAAGCATTTTTATCAGGGTAATCACGGTCAGAAATTCTATTCTATCCCTTCTGAGTTTAGGAATACAGGTGACAGTCGGGCGTGTGTCTCGCGGCATTTCAGGTCGCAAATCGACACTGATTATTT